ACACACACACACACACACACACACACTAAAAATTGTGTGTGTGTGTGTGTGTGTGTGTGTGTGTGTGTGTGTGTGTGTGTGTGCTGAGAGCTTTTGAACAACTCTGTACCCTCTGTATATGATGGAAACCACTTCAAGCCAGGGGGTGTAGCAGCACCCATAGTTCCAGCACCTATATCCCCACCCTTCTTCCTGTCTGCGCCCTCAGGAAGACAACTCTACAGTTGCATCCGAAGAAGTGGGCTGTAGTCCATGAAAGCTTATGCTCTAATAAATTTGTTAGTCTCTAAGGTGCCACAAGTACTCCTGTTCTTCTTTTTATAAATATTGTCTCTCTCCCGCCCCCGTACTATCTGGCTTCGTGCTGTCCGTGTAGCTCTAGGTGGCGGTTTCGCGCCTCGTGCCCCGGGGTACTGTCGGCCGTTAGACCAGCGCACGACCGACCCGACCTGGATCGCGGGACATTTGCATCGAGCGCTGTGTGGCGCCAGTAACCTCTGCGCCAGAGGGAGAGTCTTGGTGGCGGCGGCTGCCGCTATTGCACATGCTGTTTGACTGCCAGCCTTGGACTGCTCTGGGTAGCTGCCTCCGCTCCGCCTCCGCTGGGTGCCTTTGCCCTGGGCGGCGCCGGCTGTTTTTACACCCCCGGATAACAGTAGCCGGCAGCAGCGGAGCAAAGGACGTGTGGCAGGCGGAGTGTCTGTCTGGGGCTGAGAGCAGCAGCAGCGGCGGCGAGGGGAGGGTCTGCGGCTTGGCGTAGCTGCAGCAGCCGTCTCGGCCTCTCTGGGAGTGACTGTGTGTGCGCCTCCAGTCTCTGCCGCTCGCCGAGCTGCTCCTGCCACCGCTGGTGATTGTTTATTGTTGTCGCTCTCTTCTCTCCGGCTCAGACAGCCCAGCACGGTCAGGGGTGGACGGGCAGGAATGTGAGCGGTTTTTGCAGGCGCTGTGTGTGCGGGGGGTTCTGTGTCACCCCCGCCACCACCAGCATCCTCATCAGCTGGCTCTATTGTCAGCAAAAGAGGAAATTGCAATCAAACAGCAGCAGCAGCAACATCTGGGCGGTCACATCTGGGCATGCAACATCGGCTTCCTCCTCCTCCTCCTCCTCCTTCACCCGAGTGGATCACTTTGGGGGTGGAAATACTTCTGCAATCAAGCCAGAGGTTCCATCTTATAACTGAATATTGAAACTGGAAGAGAGGGGGGTGGGGTGGGGATAAAGGCTGCTTTTTCCTCCCCTTGGGATTTATTTCATGGGGATGTGTTCAAGACAAGAGAGGATTCAGAAGGATATTGACGTTGTGATCCAAAAGTGCAAGGCGGAGAAGGACTGCCTGTTTGCAGGTGAGTTTTCCGCCTGGGCTCCAGGTTACCAGCTGCCACTCTCTTCCCCTCCCTCTCTGCCTGCTTCAAACGTTTCCCCAGCACGACATGTTTGGTTGGGGTTCACTTGTCCCATTTCTGCTGTCATTTTGCAACAGTTACAGTGGCGATCGCTGCCCTTAAGTCTTCGTGTGTGTGTGTGTGTGAAATAAGTCTTCTTCCCTCCCCCTCCTCCCAACACACACAAACACACTGGCAAGAGAAGGCAGAACAGGTACTGTATGAGAAACCAGATACAGAAGTGGAATATATTTATACACAGGGAGGAATGCAATATACACAGAGAGAGCAATGTATCTGTTCTTAGCATCTGCCACCACGACAGTCCTCAGATCAGAGGGAGCCCCTCAGCCCACGGTCGTTTTTAATGCGATCAGCAAGACTTTCGGTTTGGAGCCGAGTTGGTTTGCGCAGTTGGCGGTGGTGGTGGAATACAGCCCGGTTTGTAGCTGCTCAGGTTAGGTCGTTGCCATTTGGGGCTGCTTAGCTCTTGCCTTAGGGAAAATTAGATTTTATTTTGATCATCTAGTTCCTTAAATGTATTTATCCAGAGCTGGAATATTAGCAGGTCATAAATGAGTCCTTTTCGTGCAAAGCCTTGGTGTTTGCTTGTTGCTTTATGGTGATTACTATTTACAGTATTTAATGATTTGCCTGAGCTGCCTGGCTTGTTGCTGCCTGTTGCCTTCACTGACAATGGAAATTCCTGCCGTTGCCATAGCACCAGGGCACTTGTTGCAAAGAGGAGGGGGGTTTCCTGCTGCATGGTGCTCTGATGCATGTTAACCCCCCTACCAGTAGCAGAATGAGGGCGAGAGAGACATCAGCTATTTTAGACAAAACCCAAGAACTAGAAATGGTCATTTATAATAATGCAACTCTTTGTATTTTAGATTTCAGGTACTCAGACTCCACCTTCACCTTCACCTATATTGGAGGCTCCAAAAGGTACTTCTCTGTAATAATGAGTAACTTCATTTCCCATTCACTGGCTAGTGTCTCCTTTATTCTTAATTTTTTGGGATAGTAATTTCTTTTTCTTTTGCAATGAAAGCAAATGATTAATATCCAGTGGGACATAAATAACTAGAGAGAGAGTGTTGGGTCTGAGCAGGTGATCTGTGAGGTGATCCCATTCATCAGAGACTTATTCATCAGAGTTTTCCTCTGTGTAACTTATTTGTCTTGATATTCAGTGTACACAGATAAGTAAAATTATTGCCTGGTGCAAATGATATAGAAAAACAAAAAAACATTGAATGCAAGATGTTTACAAAATCTGACTATAAGAACCAATAAAGAAGAATAGGCCAAATTTTACTCTGTTACACCAGAGTACCACAGGGAGACCAGAATTTGGTCCTAATAGATGCAGATCATTTTGCAATAGAACAAATGAACATTATAGAGGAATTAAATGAAAATGTCAATAAAGTTTGTGATGCAGATTACAATCAGTTAAACAACCAAATATGAATCTATGTGCTTGTAAGCACATTTTAGTTTATTCACAAATTGGGGTGTATATGTAAGTGGATACTAATTTTTATTATTTGCATAGGGGGTTGCAATTTATATAATTTCTTCAGTTGCATTTCATTACTTTTGCTATATCATTAGCCTGGATTCTGCATAACTGTCTGTTTTCAAAGGAACTCAAGTTTTTTTTTAAAATATCCTGCTGGTGAATGGATTTTTTTCCAGCTGTTTGTTTAGTTTGTGAGTTGATATCGTATTTGTGTTCATATTAAACAAAATAATAAAGTATAGCTAGGTTTAGTAGAATTTATTTTTTATAATTTTGATACAATATAATCAATATTTATTTTTAAGCATTTTCCCATTTTTATTGATTTTAAATTTTCACAATTGTAGGAAATTATGGGGGGAGTGTAAGACAGTAATTATTTAATGGCAGTAGATATTGAGATTAAAATTGCAATATCACATGTCAAAATATAAAAAGTAAATATTCTTAAATCAAACGCTAATAAATTCTCAAGCAGAATTGTTTTTACTTTGCCTATATATACATTTCAGTTATCAACTATGTAAATATTTTTCATGGGTTTGTGTGTGTTTGGTGGAATTGACATTTACTGATAAAACTCTAATCTTAATCTAGGCTAATCCAAGACTAAATATAGCCTATCAGGTTTAAAGAGAAGTCTCTTGATTTAGGTAGCTTCAAGGGTTCAGTATCTTTGGTGCTCACTTTTTTCAGGCCACCTTAGTTTAAAAGGGAATGGATCATTAGGAGTTATAGGCCTCTATCCTGAAAGATGATCTTTGCAGGTGGATGCCTATACCTGAACAGGATGCTGTTGACACCAGTGGGGTTCTGAGCAGTTTCATGGGTCCACCTGCACAGGTCAGTTTGTAGGATCAGAACCATAACTGATAAATGGATTTGTAGTTTGTTCAAAAACTACTTTTGTCACATTAATGGCCTCCACATGCGCCTACTAAAGGGGGTGGCAAAATGCTTTCACTTTTACTAATCAGAGGTGCCCAAATCTGACTGCTCAAATCATGACTGCCCAAATCCGGAATTTACAACACGTAGGCAGATCTATCACACGTGGAATCTGACTGGCCTGGCCTGGCCACCGAGAACCAGTTTCAGTATCTGGAAAATTCAAATTGAATTTAAAATCTCATGTTATACCTTGAGAAGATGATACAAATAGGTTTCCATAGTGCATGTTCAAAGTTTACATTTCTTCTGACATTTAAAGGACACTTAAAAATAATCAATAGCTTAAAATAAGGGATTCATACTGACTTTTCATCTTTCCTGGTTTTTTTCCCCAATCTTTCAGAATATCCATAGTACCCAGAGGTGCATTGGCAGCTGAGTTTTCTGTTTGCTTTCTTTTTTTTATAAAGTGCAAAGCATTAAGGGCCAAATTCTGATTTCCCATGCCAAAGTTGAGTAAATGAGCTTCATGCAGGGGAACTATGCATGGCTGCAGAGGATATAATACTTACACATGTAACCCAAAGCCAGGACTCAAATCAGCTGTGCAGCCACTAATGCAGACTCTATAGAGGGTTGTAATAGTGGCCTTCTATGTGTTCCCTACTTGGGAGTGTATCCCCTCCAAGTTAAAACTGGGTATTGGGCATTCCCCTCCCTGAGCTTGGCCACCAACCCAAGCCCTGTTCACATTACAGCAGCTATAGATTCCCTGCCACCCACTGGCAATTCTTCTGTGGTTTGGGTACTGATGGCAGGAATTGCCCCTAAATGACAAAACCTTTATTAGTTCATGGTACATAGTAGAATAAGTATCAGGTGATACTCCTGATATTATCACCTCAGACACTTGCAGTTGTCTGATTTTATATCTTCCGTGCTGGCACCACTGCATGCTTTCAAGAAATGGGACAAGGGATGTACTCTGGGCCTTTTTACTGAGAAATACATTTTAATGGCTAAGTGATGGATCAGTTGGTAAGGAAGATTACAAGATGCTGTCTGTAGCCACATTTTGCAATTCTATCCTTTAGTGCTTTACTTCTCTTATCTATGTTTTCAGGGAGTCCTGGAAACTCAACGCTAGTGCATAGTATAGTTTTGCTTTTACTTACAATGCAAGAGCAAAATACATGAAACAAGAAAATATATTTTATATCAGATGCTACGTAGAGTATTTTTTGTTTAACTGATTGATGACCTTTTTCTAGGAGTGCTCACCCTTATGGAAAGGCTGGCCTATAAAGTCAGCAGGTTAAACAGACCTAGGGATTTCTTCTGCATATCATTTGTGTCATTAGGTATATTAAGTCTACTTACTAGTGGTTTTAACTTTTGACTCAGAGCCAGATTCTCAGCTGCTATAAATCAGTGTAATTTCACGAAAGTCAATGTACATTGCTTCATTCCTAGCTGAAGTTCTGGCCCGTGTGTTTTTTTTTTTAAACTGTTCTAAGGTTCATATTTGTGAATATTTTCTACTTAGGGAGAGATTCTCCCAATTTAACTGCATTGTACCCTTTCTCCTTAGACTTGCACTATCCCATCACATATTACCACTGTAGTTCTCAGTGTGCTGCTGGAAAGATCCAGGCTGCACACTACCCATCTCAGGTCCTGGTCCTGATATCACTTACATTGCTTTTACACTGATTTCAGTTGAGTTATTTTTAATTCCTACTTGTGTGTAGGTACAGAATCAGGCCCTATGGGCATGATCTTGCTATCATTCTACATACAGAGCAATTCCAGCTTGTATCCCTATAAACTATATTGAGCTGCTATATTATTTACCCCAGTGGTTCTCAACCAGGGGTATATGAACCCCTGGGGGTACGCAGAGGTTTCCAAGGGGGTACATCAGCTCATTTAGATATTTGACTAGTTTTGCAACAGGCTACATAAAAAGCTCTAGCAAAGTCAGTACAAACTAAAATTTCATACAGACAATGACTTATTTATATTGCTCTATATAATATACACTGAAATGTAAGCACAATATTTATATTCAAATTGATTTATTTTATAATTATATGGTAAATGAGAAAGTAAGCAATTTTTCAGTAATAGTGTGCTGTGACACTTGTATTTTTATGTCTGATTTTGTAAGCAAGTAGTTAAGTGAGGTGAAACTTGGGGGTACACAAGACAAATTAGACTCCCGAAAGGGATACAGTAGTCTGGAAAGGTTGAGAGCCACTGATTTACACAATATGAGACTAGTTTTAGGCTGGGCATAAATATGACTACAGTGGACCGGCCAGCATTTGAATGAATTTTCTTGAAAAGTTACAGGAGGGGGAAGACATTTCTTTAAGAACAAACATATTTCTGTTGCATGGATTATCATAAATAATCCTTTCCCTGTGAAGCACGATCAATCATTTTGGCCTCTGCTTGGGCAACACTTCATTTTTCTAAAATGAACTGTGTTCACATCACATTTCTAAATTATTGGTATTTTTGACAGTCCTGGGGTGCTTGCCGGTTTTGAAATCCTGTAATTAGGAATTTATTAGTGAAACCTATCTTTGTTGTATAATGTGGTCACTAAATATGAAGCACATTGTATGACAATTTAATCATTTTTAATTTCATTTTTAGAAAGCGATAGGCAAATTGGGAGATATTTCTCACAAAGTGACGTGCTCCTTCAGGTGCTGTGACTGTGCAAGATTTACCCTTATTTAACTGCTGCTGGCAGGATATCAGAAACGTCTGGATTCTTTATACTTTGTACTGCAAGAACTAACGAGGATGTTAAAATGATAACACATTGAGAATCTTGGTTTTTAGAATCCCTTCTTATTTCTGCTGTCCTACTAACTCCTTTTGTGGCACACTGGTTCTTCCAAAACTCAGCAGACTGAACAGAAGTGCTAATCTGTCACCTTTGTAATGAAGCCACATAATGAATGCCCTGATGTTGTTTTCAGGTTATAGATATAATTTGACTTAGTTTGCATGAAAAGAATGCCTGGTTGTCCTGAGAGAATATACTACATTTTCTTCTGATAAACAAGATGATCAGGTCAAGTGCTTTTCACTCATATATGTGCATAACTCCCATTGGCAGTGAGGGACTGTGACAATGAAGACTGTGCATGAGAAGAACAGATCTTTTACGGAGGCATTTTTTAAAGAATCAAGACAAGGCCTCTGGGAACTAAACACATAGATTAATTTTGTCGGCAAAATTCTCCCTTCCAGTCTGCCTGGCAGCTCTTGACTCTGATGTTCTGTCCTTCCTACATGAGCAGAATGATGATAACAATGGCAGTTCCATGCATGCAGGGAAAGCTGAATTTCTGTATGGAATTGATCTAAGAAGATGGCTCAGCTCTGAGGAGAATTTTCCTCTGTATTCTTCCTTAAAGTTATGGTAAAATGTAAACATTTATTGTCTTTTTTTTTAAGTTTTGTTCCTGATTTTTATATAATTACAGGTTTTTCCATGGTGCTTGCTACT